TTTCGTTTTGGTATTAGTGTATGTAGGCTCCATAAGACGTGGTTGGTAGTATTCCTTCTGTTTCAATGTTTTGGAAAGAGGCACTAGTCCATTTTGGAATGTTTGATAAAATTCATTTGTAAAGCTGTCTGATCCTGTGCTTTTATTTGGGGGATGGGGGAGGTCAGATTTGGTTGCTGTATCAATTTCACTGCTTGTAATTTGCCTATTTAATAAGAGTTCCAGTTCTTCTCTGTGGAGGCTTGGGTAATTGCAAGGTTGTAGGAATTCATCCATATTTTTTAGATTGTTCAACTTATTTGCATAGAACAGTTCATACTAATCTTACTATTCTTCTGATTTCTACTGTATCTGTTGTGACTTCTCCTCTTTCATTTATGATCCTACTTGTATTTTCTCCAATTTTTCCTTTGTGAACCTGACTAGAGATTTGTCTCATTGATCTTTTTGTTTTTCTATTTTATTTCTGCTGAGTTTTATTGCTTCCTGTCTTCTACTGGTTTTTGATCTTTTTTCTTTTTCCAGTTTAAGATGTAACATTATTTTTTTGAGTTCTTTCTTGATGCGTGCCTGTATTGGTATCTATTTCCTCTTAAAACTGCTTTTGCTGTGTCCCATACATTCTGGAGGTTTGTATCCTCACTGTCATTCATCTCGAGGTATTTTTTAATTTCCTCCTTGATCTCATTAATCCAGTTATCTTCCAGTATTGTAGATTTTAATCTCCATGAGGTAGGAGTGTGCCTTTCATTTTTTTTTTTTAAAAGACTTATTTATTTATTCATACAGAACTGGGGTACAGGCCAGAGATGCGGAGGGTGAGAGGATTCACCAGAGACAGAGCGGGGAACAGAACAGGCAGATCGATGAAGTACACTGCTGAGGGGAGCAGCGGGCGGGTCAGGAGAGGTCTGCCGCGCCATGTGGTCACCTCCGGGGCAGGCGGGACTCGAACTCATGCGAAAGTGGCTTTAGCTTCTTTGTGCTGTGCTTTAACCTGCTGCGCCACCAGGGAGGGCCTGCCTTTCATATTATGGCTTACTTCTCACTTGATGCTTTCATGGTCAGAGAAGATAGTTGGTATGATTTTGATCTTGCAGTATCTGTTAATATCAGTCTTGTATTCCCATATGTGATCAGTTTTGGAGGATGACCCATGGGCATTTCAAAAAAAATGTGTACTCAAGGTATCTTTGATTGTCCTGTGGATGTCTATTAAGGCTCATGAGGCCTAGGTCCTTGTTTAGAGCTCTCATGTTCTTGCCCGTTGTCTTGATCTACCCAATGGTGAGGTGAGGTGTTGAAATCTCCTACCACATTATGTTTTCTCTGATGTCCATTTTCAGACATTGATAATAATTGTCTGACGTATTTTGGCCCTTTGTTTGGTGAATACATGTTGGTGACGTTTATGGTTTCCTGATGTAACTATCCTTTAAGCGTAGTGACCTTCTGTGTCTCATTTTATTTTTCTTAGTTTGAACTTTTTTTATGTGAATATTTGGTTGTAGGATTGTTTATCTTTTGTAGTTAAGTGTTATTTCCTGTAGACAGCAAAATGTTGGATTCTGTTTCTTTATCCAGCCTGTACTCTATGTCGCTTTTTTGGTGAGTTTAGACCACTTATATTCAGCGATAATATAGCTATATTGAAATCTGTATTTTTCATATTTTCACTTTTTTGTGATTCCTTACTTTGTTCTAATCTTCTTATTCATCTCCTATTAGTTTTAGTTCTAGTGTACCTTGTGGCAATATCTGTAGTGAGAGTTTAGTAGTGATGAATTTCTGGAGATTTTGTCATGGAAAGTTAGCAGATTGAGGGTTTTGCAAGGTAGTGTTTTGGGTTGTAGTTTGTTGTATATATCCATTCTCTTCGTGCCTGTCGTCTTTCTTCAGAGAAGTCTGATGTCATCATGATTGGTCTTCCTTATGTTATTTGTTTCTTGCCCCTTGTCAGCTTATCTTTTCCTTGTCTTGGACCTTTGAGTATTTTACTATTATGTGTCTTACTGTAGTTCTCTTTTCATTGTGGTAGTTTGTTCTTCTGGATTCTTGTATTTTGATTTTCATTTCCGTCTGTTATGGGGAAATTTCCTTCAATTATCTCCTTGAACACTGTTTCAGCTCCCTGTTCTCTTTGCTTTTTGGGATGCCTATGAATCTTAGATTTCTTTTCCTCACTGCATCTGATATTTCTTGGATTTCCTTTTTAGTCTTCTTCCTTTGTAGTTTCCTTTTTTTTTGTTCTTATGTCTGAATCTTAAAATTAATTCTTCCATTCCTTGTTTTCTTAGCTTTTCCCAGAGTTCTTGAGTTCCTCCACCTGTCTTTAATTACTCTATAGACCCTTCACTCTCCTTCTCAGCTCATTGTGTTACTTCTATTTGTTTTAGCCCTTTAATTATTTCTGTCATGGCCTTTTTGAAATCTCTTGTCTGTTAGGTGGAAGTATTCTTCTGTTTCCATAATATTATTTTCTGAGGAATGACTTTCTCTCTGGGGCATATTATTTTCAGAAGGGCCTCTTGATCACTTGTGTTTTTTCTTCTTCCTGTTGTTAGCCTTCTGCTTTATTCTGTTCTAAGTACTCCTGTGCTGCTGTTGCCAGTGGGCATAATTTCTAGTTACTCTTGCTGTGGTATGAGTATGTCTGCTTGGTCTCTAAGTCTCTGTGGCTGAGTACATATCCAGACATTTCAGTTGTGGAAGATGTTCTGAGTTGTGCTTTGTTTTAAGTTCTCCTGTTTTACCGGCCCCCCACTGTGTAAAATTGGGTCTGTTATTTCAGCTAGTAAAAGCCTAGAGGTCTGCTTTGGTGCTCCCAATCACAGCTCCCCCATTGCTCAGTCTACCTCAATTACCCTTTAGCAATTACAGAGGTTCCTCAGTTGGGCTGATGCTCACAATATGCATGTCTATGGTCTGTTTCAAGGCCTATCTGTCTTGCGTGAGCCTGGAGGTAGCAAGCCTAGCATCTACACTCTGCTGCCATCTCAGTTAAGTTCTAGGTAGTAAGCTTTTAATAATAAAAAATAATCAAACTAACACTGGTAATAATGTGTTTTAACTGAGGCCTTTGGAGACTTGATTTTGAAAATCTGAACTAAATTAAGGACCCTAAACAAAAAGAAGTATATCGTTACCATAAAAACATACATCTTCCAGAACCAATAATGTAGAAATGTGAAGCACAACAAATATAATTTGTGAAAATTTCAAAAATATCAGCAAATACGAATACTTTTTCTGCCTTGTTTTCTAAATCATCTTCTATCCATTTCATTACTGTCATCACATTGTACAGTGGCTTTAATAACTTTTGAACTGGTTAAGAAAACCTGAAGATAACTTCAACCCAGTGAAAAGAATATAGAAAAGTTGTCTAATATAGTTTGCTTTTCTTCAAACACCTTTTCTACTCAAATTACTAAGATCTTTAAAATTTCTCAAATTTTCTGTGAGATCACTAAAATTTAAGAGTCAATAGTTTCACTTATCCTGGAGTATGAAGAATTACAGTAATGACTTTCATTATAAATGGGGGGTAGATTATTTAAAAACAAATCTTGACCATTTATTTTACTGAACATTTTATGATATTACAAGTGTCCCTTTCAAACTACTTATAGCTTGCTTTAAGGAATAGGTTAGCAATGTGCTAGCAATAGTTTTGATACATGATAAAAATAGCATTCCTAATGTGAGTCAAATAATGACAGAACTTCTCACACCTTAAAAGATTTTTTTACTAGAGATTTTCAGGGCAGTCAAAGTCTCACTTTCTATAACTGGATAAACAGAGAACAGTTTTGAAACTGTATGCCAACTAAAAAAAAATGAACAAAAGGTGGAAACACAGGATTAGCAACTTTAGTCTCAGGAGTACTAGTGACTTAAAAGAACCTACAATTTATTCCCAGTGGAAAATATACCCAATGCAAAGCAAAAAGTAAGGAAAATTGTGTTAGTAGCATTTTATAGGCATAATCTCAAGTGGTTAAAAAGTAAGGAAACAATAAATCATAAATGTTTTAGCACTTAATTTCTGCAAAAATGTAAATTATTTAATAAAGAAGCTAAACCATGCTGTGTTTGGTTTAAAATCTGTCCTCAGTTTCAGTCATCCCTTTGCCAGGAGACAAGCCATTTTGCCAATCAGCACAGCACCTACTTCCTCCCTCACCACTTTACCCTCTCTCAAGAAGAAAGATTCCAGTTATAGCATTTTAGTTAAAAAAGTTCCAATATAATTATTCAAATATAAAATGTTTTCCTTTAAAGTATACTCTAAAGTTGGCCAAACTAAGTATATCAGGCAAAAATCCTGCCACAAAGCCACAATCCCTTCAGGATTGTTTCTGCAAGTCCCTCTACCATCCTTTTGCTAGAAACAGACAATTTTTTTTCAAGGGTTAAAGCTGATTAAAAATAAAAGTAGTTAAAAGTAAAAGCAAACAAGTGTAGATTCTCAAGTACCCACAAAATCATAACAGCTTTCATAGCTGGACAATGGCTAAAATCTCATTCTAAGCAAATAATCTCCTGTTAAATTTATAGCAAATTTGATATTAAAAATTCAAATAAAATACTCATGCAAGGAGATTACAATGTAAGGGAAAATGCAGCAGGTACAATTTTTAAATGTATTCTACAATGAAATCAATTAGTACCTCTGAAAAGAAGATGTTGGTAAGGAACCCTAGTTTGTGGGAAAAAAAGAATTAATCAAGGTCCATGATGACCTGATGCCATTTTCCATCTTCTCAAAGTTATATGTACTTGAGAACCACCACAAGCTTAAGAATATTCAACTTCAACAATGAACTTAAAATATAGTCTTTTCACTTTTGCTCCAAATGATTAGCTTGAAGAGGATATAAAGGATTCACAGGTGGGTATATGTCCCAGGAGAAAAAGTACTATGACCAAATATATGTGCTTTAAAAAATGTAATTACAACAAGTTTCAGGTATAAATCATTTTGAAAGGATCAACTTTTTTCATTTATATATAACTAATACATCTTATTTACATATATATGACAATTTTTATTCAGTTTTCTTCATATAAAGTCTATATAAGTGGTATGTAATTGTTACATACTGTTTTTAATCTTTCTTATTTACAGGCAGTTTTGGTAATAGTTTATTATCTCCACACTGAAAACTGAATATAGTTAAAACCTCTATGAATAACCTAGTGTTAACATCCTGTTTAGTGGCAAATGGGTTATTTGAGGAGTCAACTGCATTGTGTGCATAAATTATAGTTTCAATAAAACATAAAGCAAGTATGATTCGGAAGCTGAATGCTGCTACTGATGTGAAAGATACTGAGTTCATATCTTTATTTTCAAAAAACACTGATTTTTCTAGTATTTAACTTTAAAAAAAGTAGTTCTTTAACCCTCAGACAATTGTTACATTTGAGTAACAAAAAAAAAAAAAAATCAGGAACATGTATTTTTGTTCAGTCTCCAAAGGTTAAATTAAAAGTGCAACAGTTTCCCATAATCTGTTATATAAGGCACCCTACTCTACTTTTTTCTTAAAAGAAACTTTTCCTTTAGTTTCCTGTAGTTTTTCCGTGAGTCTATCCTTTGTTTCCTCCATTTTCTCTGAGAGGAGCTCCTTTGTCTCCTCCATTCTGTCCTGTAGATACTCTTTAACTGGAGGTGGTGTTGACATGTAACCACGACTACGTAAATACTTCACAGTGAACGAGGTTCCACCCAAAGTCACAGTATATCGGGCAGGTGTTGCAATCTGAAGAAAGTAAGTAGGGACATATCAGTACTTGATCATGATCACCTTAAGCAAAAAACAAATTCAAATTATTCTTTTATTGTAACCAATAGTATAAATGACTATTCTTTCATATGGCTGAGTAGTTGTATCCTATATAGCTTTCCTCCTATCAGGGACGCTTTTTATGTAAACTCCTAAGAAAATTTGTCATTTATACACTGACCCAGGTTGCAGAATATTCACAATGGTGATGCTGAAATCTATCATCATGATATAGTGAACATGTAGCAGGTTCAGTGGGAAGCAAAAAATGCTCAGGACCACTACCATCACAAATCTGCAAATACTGCATTTAAAAAACTATCTATAGGAGAAGCAAAAGACTAAGATGAATTCAAATATCACATGTGTTGTGGGAGCATGGGGGTAAGAAGCAAGTACAGTTAAGTGAATAGCTTAAATCATTATGAAAATCTTATTTGTTAAGGTTAAATTATAATCACTATGGCTAGAAACTTGATAATTTATGAATTTTTCAAGTATCAATGCTGAAAAATTCAGCAATTAAGCTTAGCTCTCTAGTTAAAAGTTTACAATAAATAAGGAACTTTTCCCAAGATTTCTGAGGATACTAATGAGGATGACAGAATAAAACAATGTTATTTTTACTATAAAACCTTAACTCTATTTATTCATATATAATAGAAGTAAAAATAACATCTAGCTTCCAAATGCTTGCTACCTATTTTCTTTCTGGATATAAGCTTCGTAGCAACTTCTAAGAATTTGTTATTTGAGAAAAGCATAATTAATGGTTAAATTCTACAATTTACAATGAGTTACCTCTTATAAAACATAGATCCACAGGTGTAGAAACTATCTACTTAAAAAGAAGTCATAATCTGAATCCAGAGAACAGGTTTTTATAAGACTACAAATGTCGAAATCTAGATTTTATAAGACATACAAAGTCAATGTTTATCATATAGAACAAAGTCAAATTTTATTGAACTTTACCAATTGAAAAGATTAACAAAATTATAAACTATGTTAATATTAATGCAATATATAAGATACAAACAATACATAAGTAAATACAAATAATATATAAATACATGTGTATATAGTACAACATATAAGTAAAATGCTAAATTTTATTAACAAGTCAGATAATGTGTGAATATCTCTGATTATGGAGAACAGAATGTCAAAAAGACAACTTCTACCCTAAAAATTCATGTCTCACATTCATCCGATCACATCATATTATAAATGATTCCTTACTTTCAAGATACACCTCTGAAATCATTTTATTTCCATTTAAAAAAAATTGTCATCACATAAGAGACAAAATACAGTATTTTAAGTCATGAAAGATAACTTTTGGGAGCTGACATAACATGGAGTTTTATGGTGAACTGAGCAGCTCATTGGTTAAGCATAAGGAACATTTTATAAGAGTTTACCCACCTTAAACAAGGCATATGCTGTTAGTGCATTTCCACTCTGGGAATTTTTCAGGATGTTTACTACACTGTCAGGTAGTCCAATGAGTTCTAGAAAAGGAATGACATTCACTCCTCTAAGAAAGAAACAAAAAGTAAAATTTATAAATACACAAACCTTTGGAGGTAAATATTTTCAAAAGAATATCTGAAAATGCCAAGGCCAAATTCTGTTTAAAAGTCAATTCTGTATTATCAAATACTTATTTTCACTCTAAAAGAAGATATATAGCCATCACCCTGTTATGCTGTCTTTACTGTTTACGACTTTTGCTTTGTTTCTACATGCAGATGTCTGTAACCAGCAAATTTCGAAAACTAGAAGCATTTATCAGAATGAAACTAGTAGGTTTATATAACCTAAAAGAAAAAAATTGTAATCATTTACCTGGTTTTAGTTTTCCTCAACCAAACACCATTTACTTACAACAATCAACTCAAACTTCAAGATCTACAATTTTTACCTCTGAAGTGGCTTGTCAAAATCTAGTATTGCAAAAACAAGTGATATTGTAACACCGCTTACTGCTTTATTGTGCAAAGAATAAATGATTTTATGGGTTTGGGAAAAACATCAATTATTCTAAAAGGACATTTTATTTTTAGAATTAAAGGCAGATAAAAAAGTAATCACCATAAACTGCAACAAATTTTTAGAAGTGGGTGAAATGGCAAAGTTTCTAATTTGAACTATTATTTTTGTTCATTTTCTCTTTCTCTTGCTGTGCATAATTTTACAGACATTGTAAGTCTTTAAGTAAAAACAAGGTTATGTTCTGTGCTTCTTTATAAACATAATGTAATCATCACATTGAAAAAAGTTAACATATACAATAGTATATAACTAATACAATACTATTTAACATTGAAACTCTCTGAATTGCCTAGTATGCTCAATGTTGCCATCTTGTCAAGTCTCTCTACCTCCTTATCTCTAGAAGTGCTATTCTAGCCTACCATTTTTTAATGAGGCCAAATTGTCTTTTTGACATTGAAATTTTTGAAGTATTTCGGTGACCTGTCGATAGAACATCCCTCAACACAGATTAATCTGATTACTTCCTCAAGGTTAGGTTAAGGTTAAATATTTATCTACAGGAAAACTGCACAGTTGATTCTGCGTTGGTCTCAGTGAATCACAACAGGGTTCACAAATGTCAATTTTTCCGTTATTGGTGTCAACATGTGAGTTTCACTTAGTTGAGGCCAGGTCCAAGATAGCTCCATTGCACATGTACTCTTTCTCTTTGTAATTAGGGAGAGTCTTGCCTGGGTCCATTATTATTAGTGTTTCTCTAAGTACCTAATTTATTTATAAATTTAAAAATTTCTTACCTTTTAAAATTAACTTTAATATTAAAATATTAATATCTATTGTCAAGATATAGCTGATCAACATCAAAGAAAATTACCTACTATCTAAAACAAGTGTAAACCATATAACTAAAGGTTACAAAGCTAACATAAAAAAATTAAATACAAGTCCAGTTTTGTTTCTTCCACCTTTACTTCTTATATCTTTCTTAGATAAAAAGAAAATTCCAGGCCCTCCCTGGTGGCGCAGCGGGTTAAAGCACAGCACTAAGAAGCTAAAGCCGCTTCTGCATGAGTTCGATTCCCACCTGCCCCGGAGGTGACCACATGGCGCGGCAGACCTCTCCTGACCCGCCCGCTGCTCCCCTCAGCAGTGTACTTCGTCCATCTGCCTGTTCTGCTCCCTGCTCTGTACCTGGTGACTACTCTCACCCTCCACATCTCTGCCTGTACCCCAGTTCTGTATGAATAAATAAATAAATCTTTAAAAAAAAAAAGAAAATTCCATTAAAACAACAGTGTTAATGAGGGTCTAACTCAAATAGCAATATCTACTTTTTATTTTAAAGTTTCCACAGCCTGACAAACTATGCTTCACAAACTACCCACATTTTCTCATGTTGACACTCAATATTCTTGCCATTCTAGGTATCACAAAGCAAAGTGCCGTCCTTTCTTCGGTTAATTCAATGTTAAAGATCTTATCTAATATTAAAACATAAAAAATAGCTATGAAAAGTAGACTTTTCAGTTAAAGACATCAAAACAAAAACTTATCTAAGTTTGTCATTAACACAATCAAGAAAATTAACATTCCAATGAAACAGAAATTAACAAATAAGCAAAAACTTACTTTATGGCTGCATAATAAAATGTTCCGAACCAAACACCAGAAGTTATTAGATGCACTGGAATCAAAACTTTCCCATACTGTCTAAATGTTTTTTTAAATCGTTGATAAAGACTAATAGATTTGTCTTGTAAAGGATCAGGTTCTTCCTTTTTTTCTGAAGGCGCTCCTGAAGATGTGGTACTGGTCGATATAACCCTCTTGGATAAAGTGTCTTGCTCCCACTCTTTACACTGAAGGACCCCTGGTAGGGATGGATGAGCATCACATGGTTTCCTTTCCTTGGTAACACACTGGATACCAGACACATGCAACCATTGTTTTTGAGAGCCCTGAACCAAAACTACCCTGGATTCAGCATTATATAAAAATAATGGTCCCTTTATGTTTTGACAATGTCCAAAAAGACCAGCTTTATGTAGTTCCACGCATGTCCTATGTGCCAGGTGGGACACAGTCCTTGGTATATTCCATTGCATTTTGAAGAATGAAGATGGCTGGATTTCGGCTTCTACAGAGCTAGATTAAAAAACAATTAGAATATACCTAGATTTCCATTTTAAATAAATCCACAAAAGAATTTCACTATTACAAAGTAAAAGAATACACCCTGCTACCAACTCCACAAAAAATAATGTTAAATTTCAGCATACTGCAATTTTAAAATGTCATTAAAACACATCTTTTTTTAAAGGTGCTTTTTTAAAAAGTAGTTTATTTTCCTCACATATCACTAATGACATGATAATAATTTGAAAACATGACATTGTTTATATAGTTATATCTTATTCATTTTCAAGCTATCCCAGGTTGTTTCATAACAGCTGATACTGTAAAACACATCACTTAAATATGAAACAGTAATTCAGCACAGTCATCACCGAGGAGGGAAGTGTGTTGAGGTTATTTTATTAGTACAAAAGGGATATTTGTAAAGGTTTCTGTTATTCTATAAAGAAGCAGGACATTACAATGAAAAAGCATAAGGTCTAAATGCAAAAGACCTGGGTCCTTATGATTTGAGGAATTAAACTCTATTCCTTTTAGATTCTAAGCTCAAGTTCATTAATTTAAAAAAAAAAAAAAGGATTACTTTACAGGGTTGCTACAGGAATTACATGAAATTTCTGATGTAAAAGTGCTTTTATATACTAACCAGTATCACATACCTATCAGGTTTTACCACTGGTAAGATAGAATGATAGTCTATATTACTATATAATAAATCAATTTCCTTCTTTCAACATCAGACAGTATCACCTGAATCTCAATCTTTATTCTCAACCTGAACCAGCTACTTTACTACTTCTAGTACATTGAAAATAGGTACTCTGATGTTTAAATTTTATTAGCACCCAGTAAAACAGATCTCCATTTTATATGAATATTCATGTATAAAGGTATCATAAAAATACCCAGCAATGAAGGGCTCTGTCTGATGGCACAATGGGTTAAAGCACCATGTTATGAAGCTCTGCAAAGCCACTGCAATATGAGTTAGCTCCCCGGCCAAGGAGTTGATCCACATGGCCGTGGCAGACCACTTTTAAGCCACCCTCAGGAGTGTACTCTGTCAATCTGCCTGTTCTGCTCCTCACTCTATTTCTGGTGAATCCTCTCACCCACCATACCTCTGGCCTGTACCCCAGTTCTGTAAGCATAAATAAATTAAAAAAAAAATCCACCAATGAATTGTTCATCTAAAGTTAAATCTTGTGACTTCTCCCTTGCTAATTAGTAATATAAGCTCTATCAGGTTCTCACAGATAATTCAACAACACATTACAAATCAGTTGTGAAATGAAACTGCCAGTCCTGCAAAACAAATAGGAACTAGTAACCTTTAAAAGTCTTATTAAAGACTGCTGCCACTTTACTGCTGGGATGAATGATCTGGTATTGCAAAATGCCTGTCTGTCCTCATTTGGGTCCCTGACGGCAATTCTAGCACCCTATGTAGAACAATGAATACATGACATCACCACAATGGTAGCCAGATTGTGTGATGCTGAGAGGCAGCACTCTAGAAGGGATGATTGGTAGTTGTTAAATAACTGAAGTGGATGTCAAAGACACTCTCTTAAGATCAGAGAGCTCTTAAAATTACTCATGTCTGGGCCCTCCCTGGTGGCACAGCGGGTTAAAGCACCACACTAAGAAGCTAAAGCCACTTCAGCATGAGTTCAATCTCCGCCCTGGGGGTGACCCACATGGTATAAGGGACCTCTCCTGCCCCACCCGCTGCTCCCTTCAGCAATGTACTTCATCAGTCGGCCTGTTCTGCTCCCTGCTCTCTCTCTGGTGAATCCTCTCACTGCCCTTGCACCTCTGTTCTGTATCTCAGTTCTGTATGCATAAATAAATAAATCTTAAAAAAAAATACCCATGCCCAAATATGAGTGGATCTACTGAGAGCAAGTGTAAATCAGATGCGTAGCCCAATGCATATCTGTTAAAAGTTATGGAAACAATTGCAAGAAGACCAGAGGTTCAAGCCCATAAAATGGGCTGCTGTAAAGGGAAAAGCTGGACAGTCCAGGCCCCAGGCATGAGCCTTGTACCTGGAGGATTATTTACTGTTGACACTGGTTCAAAGGGGGAGGCCTTATTTGCTTCTGAATAGGACAAGGGACTGCAGGCCATATGTGGAGCTTGCTACCAATGTGCAAGGGGTTTTGGCCATAGTAGATATGGAGGCAGAGTGAACTCTGTTATATGGGAACCCATTGATGTTTCAGTGGCCTGCTTGTAATACTGACAGCAAAGAAGGCTGAAGTGTCAGGTGACTCCACTGAGAGTACCCCTGGAGATTAGGAGATTACCCCCAAGGGTGTATAAAGTATACGTTGCCAATCCCAGCGTCTGTCCTGGAGATGGATGTACTTTGTGGTTTATGGCTGCACACCAGTGCCAGAGTTTCACCTTAGGGTACATGTGATAAAGGCAGTGTTATGTGGATATGCTGAGCATCTACTCAGACAACCGCCAGTCCCTAGGTGAGTGATCAATACTAAACAGTATCAGTTGCCACGTAGCCACAAAGATTATGGGCACGATAGCAGAGTTGGAAAATGTGGGTATTGTGCATAGACTCTATAACTGACCCATAAAGCCAGCGAAGAAGCCTTAAGACTCTTGGTGTATGAAAGTGGATAATGGTGGATTGAATAAAGCGGATACCACCTGCATGCAGCTGTTTCTTCAGTGGCAGACTTGATGTAACATCTGAGACATTAGCTGGCACATATTGTGGGTCTGCTAATCCTAAGCGGCCTATCCAACCTACATTTTGTTACCTATAACAAAGCAAGGTCAGAATTGTCTAGTCATAAGAGCCCAATCCTACAAAGGTGACTTTCATATCAATTAAGAGCATAAAGCTGGATCACTCTGGAAAGGGTATGCATCAAGAGGTATGACTGGGAATGTGGGGGGTCAAGGGGATGAGGCTGGATGCATAAACTTACTCCTGACTTATACAACACAAGGTATGACTGGGAATGCCCAGGGGGCCAATGACTATTGTATAATGAAGGACCCCAGAAGCTGATCAGTAGAATGCCTTATTAGTAAGACTGAAATCCTGACTGGGAGTCAGGGTTGGATCCAGATACTAAGATGAAAAATACAGTTCTACCCTGCCCCTCCTTTCTACTTCTCCCTTTCCTTTTCTACTTCCCCTTTGACTAATGCTTGTTTATCAGTAAAAAGGCCAGGATCTTGCTTTTTCAGAGCCTCCTACTTTATGTAGCCTGCTCCACCACTCCTGTTTCTTTATCAGTGTGGGAGCCGCTCGATGCAACAACATATGACTTTGTAGCTGATTTAATTAACAATTTCTTTGCCATTGCCCTAGCACCAGTGTGTCAAGACCAGTTTGTCATCATGTAGAAAGGCTAGCAGTGGACATTTACTGTGCTTCTGCAGGGATACCTGCATAGTCCTACTCTGTGACGTAGAATGATGTTAGTTGATTTGGCTAAGTGGAAGAGGCTATTGTCAATGTGTTTGTACCATTACATTAATGACATTTTATTGCAATGACCGTTGTAAATTTGAAAAAGCTGTTTCTCTCCTCTGGCCACAACTGAAAACAAGTGGACTGCGGTTAGTTGTATTCTGTTGTATTCAGTTGCATTCTGTCACAGTTTTTATTGTTTTCTCAGGTTATGGGTACAGTGTCTACACCCCTCACCAAAAAAAACTGCATAAGATCGACACAGACTGTAAAATGAAAAAAAAAAAAAAATCCAAAAGTGTGGAATGTAAGGAAAATGAATTAAAATTAAAATCAGACTTTTTTTTTTGCCTCCAACAGACAGCCCATACCTTGAAATGCTGGTTTCCACCATTCTGACATTAAAAACACAGAGGGACCTTATATTTGCAACAATGTGATACATGGCTATGAGCATTAACAGTATAAAGGGGGCTAGTCAGTTGAGTTGCTGCTCTGGTTCTCTGAGTAGGGTGTGTCTGGCTACATGTGTGTATGGTCTGGTTTCAGTATATAAAGCTTGCAAAATCCACTGAAAGCTTAAATTTTCCTTGTTTGCACTTCTTGCTATAAAAAAAAATAAAGCCTTGCCATTTGCAACAACATGGATGAGCCTAGAAGATATTATGCTAAGTGAAATAAATAAGAGAAACACAAATTATGGGGAATTTCACTCATGGGAAAAAGTCACAAGTGAACACACAATAAAAATAAACTTTTAAATTATAAGAATATAATGGTGGGACCTCCCTGGTGGATATAAGCATGTAATGGTGGGCTCTTCACGGTGATGCAGGGGTTAAACTCTCAGCTCTATCAAGCTATATCCAGCTATAGACACAGCAGTCTGAGAATGATCCCCCACCAAAGAGCTAACTCCAGGGCAAAGCAGACCTCTATTGTCTTGCCCAGAGCTCCCTTCAACAGCATATTTTAGTAGATTTGCTGGTTAAACTCCCCATTCTGTCTCTGGTGAATCTTCTCAACCCTTCCACACCCACACATCTGTGCTACATCCCAGATCTTGTATGCATAGATACATAAAATTATTTAAATATATATATAAAATGGTGGTAAATGGTTGGGAGAGGAATAATGGGAGTCAATGGTGTGGTTGTGAATGGTAACTAGAATTTTGGTGATCATAATGTACTATATATAGCTGTTAAATTGTATTTCTGTATACCTGAAATTTACAAAATGTTATAAATGAATTCTAAAATTAAAAATAATATATATATAAAACAAAAATATTTAGGGAATTTAAGAAAGAAACAATATAGAAACTGAGAACTAAATAAAAAAAGAACAAGCACCAGAGAAGAAATTGGTAAAGTTAAATCTATTTTTAGATTTATAAATAATTTATAAACTATTTAAAAATAGTTTATAACAATCTATTAGGTGATTAATAACATATGAGTAAGTGAAATGAAAGAGTCTTCTATAAAAATAGAAGAGGGGAACTGTAACCTATGATGAAGTACTTGCAAGTACACACCAAGTTGTAGGTAGAATAAAA